TCTGGTTTTCTTTTCATAATGGCCATAAATTATAGAATGAAATAAAATATAATAATAATAATAATACAGATTTTAAAATAAAATAAAAAGCTGTGGCTTCATACAGAAGATAAAAGGATTTCTTGGTTACTACATTAATTATTTCTTTGAATAACTGCCATTAAATGATAAAAAAATAAATAAAATAATAATAATAATAATAACATTATAAAATTGTGAGTTTACTATTGGGAATTATAGTGCATTTCAGCACACAACAAGTGTCTGAATGCCAAATAGTTGACATGTAATTGTTGCTTGTCATTTGTTAGGAAAGTTTAAAAAAGTTGCAGATATCAGAATGAGAAATTTTGCAGCCAAGTTTAAATAAATGTTCTTTTCGGACTGGGGAAGAAGGTTTTGAGATACAGTATATTTTCCTTTGTTTACGATGCACTAAGATCAGAATTGACTTCAGGATCAGAACTGGTGTAAGTACTCAAAGCTGCTCTGACCCATTGTGCGTGCAAACGGCTGAAAAGACTCCCGAACGTTCCTCTCCTCCGGCGTTATCTGACAGAGGGTGGTGAAAACTCAAAGGCCTGATGGTTTTAATGGCCCCCACGTCGGCCCGGGGCGAACATGCAGCTGAGCGAGGAAGTCTGTCTTTAGAGAGGACCATAAATCCAGAAACACTCTGGTCTCCTTGGCCCATCCTGAGAGCGAAAGGAAGAAAACAGCATTTTATGGGTTCCTCTAGCTGCGTTAATGTGTTTCATCTGCTGCTGTCTTTTTTTGTCATGGGATAGCGCTAAATATTTGGCAAAGCCCCACACAGCTGTCCCATCTAAGCATCTGAACTGATGTGAAGCCAATTTATGAAGGGGTCACATGAGAGCCGGGCGGCTGCTGGGTTGGTAATGGGTGAGAGTAATATAAGTTGGCATTTTTACTTATGCAAACACCTCTGTTTTAACTTGAACTAGGATTCGAGCCCAAAGCTACTGCATTTAGAAGCAGCCCAGCATGAAAAGGGACCGTTGCTGCATGTGTTGAACTTGGATGTATTTTTCATTCATAATTGTGTTCATCTTCAGTCATGGGAAGATCTTTTATGTAGTGTATCTCTGTTACATACTGAAGAAAGCTTGAACCGCAAGAGTATGAAAGCAAACGAGTGGTTTGGTATTTGACCTGAAGGGGATTACATCACATTGGATCAGCCCATAGATCATTATTAGCGATTGCTTTCATCTTGGATTCTCATGACTTGTGGGTCACTGATGGACTTGATTAGTCTGGGGTGCAGGTGATGAAACACTACATAAAAGACAATCCTCTGATTAAACAGTACACATGAAAACAGCTCTGATCTAAAACCTGCATTGAGTTATTGGTAAAACCTGTAAATAATGTTTAAAGGGGTCATATGACGTTGCTAAAAGGAACATTATGTTGTGTATTTGGTGTAATGCAATGTGTTTATGCGGTTTAAGGTTAAAAAAAACACATAGAAATGACAAACAATAAGCGCTACTCATAATAATAATAATAATAATAATAATAATAATAATGTAACATCTGACAGTTAGGCCGATTGTTACAACAACAACAATAATAATAATAATAATAATGTAACATCTGATAGTTAGGCCGATTGTTACAACAACAACAACAACAACAATAATAATAATAATATTTAATTTAAAAAGTATATAATATAATATGATTGATATGATTTGATATGATATAATAATTAATAATACATACTTAATATACACAAATATGTTAAGTATAAATATATAATACAGCATTATTATACTGGACTATAATTATTATTGTTATTAAGTATTGTCAAATTGTTTAAATTGAATATAATAATAATAATACATATATAATTATACATATAAGTGTAAATATAAACATACAAGTAGTATATATAATCTTTTATATAACACATAATTATCACATAATTATACTGTGATACATGTCAAATATACACAAGTACTGTATATTATACATTATTATATAAAACTGATTATTATTATTATTATTATTATTATTATGAGCAGGCCTGTCACAATTATTGATTAATTGTCTGAGCGTGGTTATTTGTTCTAATTTTCAAAAGTGTATTTGTTTAAACAGTTTAACTTCCAATCACATTTTGCCATCCGAATAAGTAAAAATATGTTGTGGTTATATTACATTATATTATAAATAATAAATTAAATAAATATCATTAATATTATGCATTTAAAAATAAATCATTGTATTATTGTATTGTATATGATTACAAATACACAAAAAAATAACATATTAGGTTTATACTGTAGGTGACATGAACAAAATCGTTAAACGCTATTATTTGTATGACAATTAATTGTCAGCACAAAATTTATGATTGTAACAGACTGAATTGTAAGTGAATATAACATTATAAAATGAATGGTAATAAATTAATAAAATTATTAAATATACAGAAACATATTATACTATAGTAAAATGTATTATTATTATTATTATTATTATTATTATAGCCCATAATCAATAAGAATTTATAATGATGATTATTAATAATAATTAATATGTGTATGGTTTGGGTGTTTGGCTAGTTTGCTGTTAGCTTACCAACATGCTAACTTTAAACTCTATTCAACTGTGAATGGAGTGTCCTGTGCATTTTGCATGAGAAGTGCTTTTGTGTGACATGCTTATGTAGAGCGTTTCAGTTCAGTCACTTGTGTGATTCCATTTCGGTTATAATGCTGCCTATGTTGTAGACAACAAGGAAGTTCACTAGGTTTTAGAACAGAGCTAAAAGTTACACTGCCAGCATAAAAGCCTCAACCTTGGCAACTAATGAAGTGAATAATAGTTGCTCTTATATGGAGCGTTTAATCAGCAACCCGCTTGGAATCTCAGGATCTAGATCAACACAATCCTCTATACTGAACACCCCACAGTTGTTTTCAGGCTCAAGGCCATGTGTTTGAGTGTGGCACTCTCTAAAGTCAACAGGCGCACGTATCAAAGAGAACAGTCTATTGGCTCACGGAGAGCAGAGCAGCGATAGTATCAGCAGGTGAGATCTTTTCAAGGGCCACCCTTTGTCTGTGTTTGCTGCAGCTGTGGGCAGCT